GTCAGAGACGACTGTGATTTGTTTGAAGAGACACAAACAAGCCTGAGCGTTTTCACACCTACAGCAGGATGATAATGAGGTGCATTGTGCGCTAAAGAAAAGCCCATAAAACTTGCAGAGTCGTGTGATATTTCTCTGTAGATTCATGAAAACAAATGACCCTTTTCACATGAAATTAAACTTGTGACCCACTGTTAGCATAAAGACGTAATTATAACTGTTCTGAAATGGTCGGATTGTTTAATTCATGCACATATTGTGCTGTTCCTTCAGGCTTCGGTCTCTAAATTTCACTGTTCTTGCAAAACATCACTCTTACTCAACTGTGAAACTGCGAGTGATGCGTCATGTGAGGACATTCGCTGCTGGGGTTTACAAATCCGGCAGTCACGAGACGACGCTGCACCGAACACAGGAAATGACAAGTATGAAAGGTATTAAGAATGAACAGATTTCTTTGTGGTGGATATCAGGGTGAGCTGAAGTCCACCTAAAAGCCTAAACTGTTGTGTGAATCAACTTGCTGCAGCTAAACTATGTGTCATCTCCCAAAATGAGTCGCAGGCTCGCTTCCCGTCAGGCCTCCCATGACAAGAGCACCAAATCATTTTCTTATTTCCGTGAGCGAGCCTTGGGCGAGAGATTAAATTTATCATTTGAATCACTGAAGTGGTTTAAGATGCTGTGATCCACAGAGACAGCAGTGGCAGCGCTCCTTACTGCAGCACCCTGAAGGCCGAGAGACACCCAGAGAATATACTCCTTTCCTTTCTGACGCAGACGCCGACTTTGATGCACAACTTTCTTCAGACTCTCCACAGATCCAGTTTTAGGTTTTCAGTTATCAGAGCTGGTTTGAAGGAGAGTTTTGACACAGTCGACAGTGTTTCTGTACTTCTGTACCATAGCTGACAGCGTTTTATACTGTTCAGCTTGAGCCAGACTCTCTGTTTAGCTTATGACAGCTGTCAACGCGATCACAACATGGGGTCATCACTTTTGAACACAGTTTAAAAATACACTAATTTTCACAACTTGGAGCAAAAACAGTAGCTTGCAAGTGATGGTGTTTCAGTGCAGGAGCTTTAAAGTTAATTAATATTGTCATTAAGGAATCTGAAGGCCCGTCACAGTTATTATATAATCACCAGATGCAATTATCTGTCCTGCCTGACTGCACTCATTTTGCATAGCGGCTAGAATCGTTTTAATTAATCTGTTCAAATCAAACTAACATAAATGTCATATTTCAATCCCCTTCTCCACATTGTTTTGTGCCCTCGTCTCCTGCTGTGGTTTCATGGCACCGTCTGTTCGTCTCGAGGCGTTTAACTTCTAGTGTTCGAGTGCATTCTGATTAATATTAGGGCTACAACTAAAGATTATTTCATTTTTGGTCTATAAAATGTCAGTGTTTCCCAAAGCCCAAGATGACAAATATCTTGTTTTGTCCACAAACCAAAGATATTCAGCTTACTGCCACAGAGAAGGCAAAAAAAGAAAGAAAATAGTGACATTTAAGAAGCTAGAATCAGAGAATTATGACTTCTTTTTCTTAAAAAGTTACTGAAACTGATTGATTATCAAAATAGTTGGCGATTGCTTTGATAGTTGACAGCTGATTAATTATTCGTTGCTGCTCTAATGAGATTCTACTGTAACTGCACGGACTTTGCAAAGCCAAACACAACAGCAGCACATTTTAGTTTTGTCCAAAATGAAAACCGAGAGCTACATCACAAGAACGAGTTCTGTCAGATTCGCAGCGAAAAGGTGGCATTCAAGGGGGCTACAGCCACTAATCTACAACCATAAGAGGCATAAACTGAAGAGAAAAGCACAATAAATAGCAATTATTTGCCTGACACTTAATCTTCAACTTAAATTTCATGATCGTGACAGTCTTTGGTAACTGAGTGAAATGCAAAACAAATATCATATTGCAATTATTTTGTCAGATAATACATGGGAAGGATCGATTTAGCGTTTCTATTTAACTGAAAAAAATCATTCTTGATGATGATTTCTGCAGAGTTATCTCTGTAGCACCACAATGCTTATTTAAACTTGTATTTTATGACATATTTTATCTTTAAAAAAGAACTTGTGGGTCCCAGGATTTGCAGATTTTTAATATTGTGATACTGATACCATTCTGATGAATCATTCAGCACTAGTTTGAGCTGCTCTGGACATTTGAAGATGCCACCGACAACTTGTGCAAGGGTTAAATCAAAAAGTTGATTAACCCATGATTAATTTTGTTAGTTGCAGCATGACCTTACCTACAAAAGCTTCCCGAGACAAGCCTGCAGCATTACAACACAATCTGCTGCAGCAACACACAGTTATCATTTGGCAGTAAGAAGCCACACAAACCCTCTGGGATCTGTGAGCCAACAACAAGCTGCCCTGGGGGAGTGGAGGGGCGTCAGCCTCGGGGAGGAGCCCTGCAGGTTGTCATGGCTGCTCCTTTGGGTGGATTAAACATTAAATAGTGCAGCAGAGTACAAGCAGAGCCCTCGGGAGGCCTTGTGTTGTCAGTCACGCTGCCCAGACTCAGAGATTGTGCGTTTGCATGCGTCCTACGTCTCAAATATTCATAGACACCTCTCTCTGGTTTCCCAGCTGTGAGAGCCACACTGAGATCCACTGTCCGTCTGAAGCCCAACACAGGCAGCTTTCACAGCCCTCAGCCCGCTCTGCATATCAATGAAAGGACTCGGCTGTCACATGACAAGTTGTAGTCATCATCCACACTTTGTCTGGCTGCAGCGGCCAACAAGTGTGTGTTTCCACCGGCTGACAGGCGTCTTTTAATCGGGTTTGGACGACTGCAGGTGGACACGACCCGGTCATGTTCATTTTATCGCATCGCTGTTTCATATTGATCTGTTGCCTGATTTCTCCTGTACTCTTTCACTTTGATAGTTCTACCCCTTTGTTGACAGTCTTAATTTTTTATCAGAGCCAGAAACTGTAAAAACAAAAAAACCTTGGCCTGATCGTGTGTAGTGTATAGTTGCAATGGGAAAATGAACAAAATCGAACCTTAACAACTGGATAGTTCATTAAAATTACTGAAAAACAAACTGCTTTCTCTGATCTGATTCTGTAAAAACAAGAAGAATTCTGCACTGCTCTGTGCGACCGTGAAGATGTCAGTGACTCAGCAGGACCCAGAGATATTAGACAACAATCCTGAGACTTTTAGGCTGAACTGCAGGCTGTGTTTAAACAGAGACGACAGGAGACCAGTATGTAAACTAATTTAAAATGAAAATAGTTAAATGTCAATCGTAGCTATGGTCACTAATTTTTATTCCTGTATTGTTAACGCCTGTTTTAATTATGATTTACGACATTATAATTGCGTCATGTGGTTGTCATACGGAGTCATACAACATTTCTGAGCTCTCTTTACTTCCAGCCATGGTTGTGCTGTTTCCACTGAGGTGTAGGGACTTGAAAAATGAACCCACAGTGGGTAACAATGTGGCAGGATCAATAACAAAGCATCCACAAACTGCTTGGAGTTCAGAGGATTAACTAGCCAATATGCTAAGCTAATATGCTCTGCAGCTACTGGTCCGTCCAACCTGTCCAGTGTAAACGTTGTCCTGTTTGTTGTCTGTTTGTCTCTGCTATCCTGTTCTCTCTCCTCTTTACCTTCAACCCAAGCAGGTGAGGTAAACATCTGCCCTCCCTGAGCCTGGTTCTGCAGGAGGTTTCTTCAAATCAGCTCCTCCACAACCTTTGGGTCAGTTGGGATGTTTTATGTAAAATGTTGTAGGATCAGAACTCTGATCAATGGGCAGCTTAAACAATCTCAATCTTTTAAAAAACAAAAAACTAAATTATGGCATTAGTCTGCAACACCTCATATATCCTAAATTGCACATTTTTTGTGCCAATTGCAAACTGCGATTTTAATTCAAAATTGAATAATCCTTCAGCCTAAGCATGGATCACTGCAAATCTCCATTTTCCTATTTGTCACAGGGAAAGAGAAGTCCAAGAACTGTGACATATATCTCAATATCAGCCAAAATCATCCCAACACAAGCACATTATTTAGCCCTAGTGTTGGTTTGAGATGTAGTTTATGTATAAATTCACAACAGAACTGTAAAATTCAACACAATACTAAACTACAGTGGGTAGTTTTAGTTATTCATTTGTTTAAATGCTTTGATTGAACATGTATTTGTTCATTTGTCATGGACAACAAGTTTGTTGGATATGAACCTTAACACTGCAGTCAGCCAGGTCACTTTGTATTGTACACAAGGTTGCAGGATCCTATCCTCAATAACCAGTCAGATATTTTTCATTTAAACCATTTTTTTGGGACTTAACGCCAATATTTAGTCAGAAAAACGTTTATTTTATACGTTTTTGTTGTGTTTTAACCCTAATATGTTAAATACTTAGGCAAATGTGCTTAATAAATAATCTGACAGGGTGTTAATCTCAATATTTATTTAAGTTGATTTGCATTTTATACAATTTTGGGGGGTTTTAATTGTAATATTTCAATTAACAAGGTAAATACAGATAATGTTTTAGGGTCCTAACCTTAGCATTTAAACTTGTAAGGTAAGTTTACACTCTAATCCTGTTTCTCTTTTGGAAATCAGTTTTACTCAGCAGCTGTTGGTTTAAATGTTCTGTATAAATAACGTGACTTTGTCCGAGGTATGTGGCTTCTGTTTGGATTAACCTGCAGAACCAGTTGGCCACCACTTCCCTGTAACCTCTCTGCTACCTGCCAGCTAGCTCCCATTGACAGTCAACGCACTGGTGGCGTCTAATTCCTGCGATTAACATAAACACCGGCCACACGTATGAGAAGCTAATTATCCAAAACAAGCGTCCCCGACATAATTTAACAATCACTGATTCAAACACCCGCGTTCTGACATAATGACACGTTAGGAAGCATATTCAGAAAGTAGTTAATTAGCTAATTTCCAAGAAATACACGGAGCCACTCGTACCGTTCTCTGGGACATCCGTTGCCAATGTAGCCTGGCTTTGACGTTCCTCTCTTCCCCTTTTGTAAATGTTATTTTAAAATGGAGCCCGGCAAGTGTAAAAAAAAAAATAAAATAAATAAAAATAAAAAATAAATCACAGAACTTCCACACTGTCTCCGCCTGGTGGGGGGGAAGGTTTCGCCGAGCTGAGCTTCACCGCATCAAGCGCCGCTACTGCTGCCCAGCTAGCTCCATAGCTTTAGCCGCCGATCTGTCAAAACACGGAGTTTAGTCGGAGCCGCTGGAGAGGAGCCCGCTCTCCGCTGCGTCCATGGCCGGCACCGCTGCGTCGAACTACCGCGGCTACAGCGGCTTCATGGGGCGGCGGGAAGACGTTGACCGGTGGCCCATGAAGATGACAGCTCCCCCCGGTGCGCTCTGTGTGGCTGGATGACTGGATGACTGGCTGCTGACTGCGCGGTGCGTGAAAATGGCGTTACCCGGCGCCCCCCTACTCCTCCCCGGCAGCGCTGATGTCATCCCGGCCGGATTAAAGGGGAAGCTGCGGTGGAGCTGAGCGGCCAGATTTATTTAACGCCATAAACGAGAAGTGCTCGATGTACCGGCTGAAATATAGGCAGATATTTTAGGAAAAGTTAGAGTACTGGGTAAAGTCATGCTGACAGTAACAGGGAGTGTAAAAAAATAAACTAATTAAATTAAAAAAGGCGTTTTTTAGTATCAGACCACCACCTAATGTCAGGTTTATGCTACAGCTGCCCCAAATGAACAGCATTGGTAATTAGCTAATTATTACTAATCATTTCTGTAATGGTTAATACACCAGTATGTAGAAGCTCTTTAACCAGAATAATATTTTTAATGCGAAAATATAATAATAATTATTATTATCCATTAATTTTCAAATTTACTGAAAACAGAAAAAAAACCACTAAAGCACATTATTATTCCTTAATTAATCCTCTAAAGCCTGAACCTTGAAATAACTGCCAGAAAATTCACATTTATTTTGAAACTGGAGTATTTATTAAGAAATAAATAAAGATAAATTACCATCTATGGTGGATAATCTGAGCGCTGCATGTGTTTTTCATGAAAAAAATTCTCACACTGATGACATAGCGGTCTCAAAAACTTGTGTATTAAATATTATATACTTGGCTTTACAGGGTTAAGATGTCAAATTGTAGCTGTTTACTTGCATTCCCGAACAGAAAAAATGAAGTTTTAGTGGTTGAATGTTGGGCTTAATTCATTTCTGACTGCTCAGAGAAGCCCTGTGAGCAAATCCATCCATCCATCATCTATACACCGCTTAATCCTCATTAGGGTCGCGGGGGTGCTGGAGTCTATCCCAGCTGACTTAGGGTGAAGGCAGGGGACACCCTGGACAGGTCACCAGTTGTGAGCAAATCTGGGTATAAAAAAGGTGAATTCAATTTGAAATTCCTCATTCCTCAAGAAGTATTGGCTGTACAGGCCCCATTAGAGGCAGATATGAAGGAAATAAAAGTAATTATACTGAATAAAATCATGCTTATAGTAACAGGGAGTCTTGGAAATTAAGCTTTTTTTTTTTTTTTTAGAATATATATGGATGTACGTCTTATACAGTAATATTGGTTTCAAAAAGAAAGTGTTTATCAGATACTTCAACTTCTGATTGTACAAGAGTAACAGCAAAAATAAGACGTACCAGCAAAACACGTCACATTATAATCAGACAGTTTACAAGAGTAGAAAATAAAAACATGCAAGATAAGGTGAGGAATGAAGCACTTCTGGGGATATATTTGGATTTTTAACACTCTTAAATGTTTAAAATTGCTTTAAAAAATCTATTTTTGAAAGAGTAGTTGTCAAATAATTAAAATTCTGATACACAACAGTAAAACTAAAATGCACTATTTTAATAGTAAAAACAAGAAGTCTTGACAATGCATGCAGCATTATGCTCAGACATGCAGAAGAGCAACAGAAAAAATCATGCTGTCAGTGGAGAAATAAAGCATTTAACATGTAATATCTGGATTTTTACACTTTTGAATATCAATATTGGTTTCAAAAATCCAGTATTGATCTGGTAATTCAAATTAAGGTTCACAATTACACAACAGTGGAACTAAAATGTACAATTTGAACAGTAAAAAAAAGTCGTTCTACTCAGTTAGTTTAATAAAAGAGGAAAAAATAAACAAACACTAAAAATGAACGCTGGATTAAATTTTATGAAGCCCCACACCAAATCAGAATCTAGATAAATTTGAAATACTTTTTTTTCTGCACAGAAATGTGTATTATGATGTGCTGCAAAGAGCAGACAGCTCCAACTTCTGATCTACTCCTGCATCAAACCTCATAATTTCTTTTGTATTTGTTCATCTCCTCCCATTTGTTTTCCAGCTTTGTGCTCTGCATGGTGTTGATGGTGTAAACAGAGCCGTTTGCAGTCTGTAATGATGGAAAAATTCAAAGAATCCCAGCAAAAGTAAAGCCTAAGGTCACTCATTCTGCAAAATCGTATTTATGTTACTGGCTTTTGTATTATTGATGCAGTGAGCGCAGTCTTAGCTTCTTCTTGCTGGTTGCATCTACAACAAATGGACATATTTCGTTTTATTTTGAATGCAAACTTTTAGTCTGCAGGGTCATCTGTTTGTACAGCTGTTTAAAAAAAATCCAGCAGTTTCCTGTGAACAGTTGTGGAGCAGAAGCTTATGTAAATTGTACTTTAGCACAGAAAAAAAAAGTGTTTTCTGCACCAATATTTGCCAGAACAGACAAGATTGTGACGCAACTGCCAGACAGAAAATGTAGAAATAAAAAGGTGTCAGTGTGATTTAATAATTATTTTTCACTTTCCGTGTGAGTTCAGGCACATCTGGGAGTCCGACTGAGCCACAAAGAGAATCAATAGATCCATTTAATTTATTGAACTTTTGTGAAAAAAGCCACATGTCTAAATAATAATAATAATAATAATAATAAAGAAACATAAAATATGTAAAACCAGTCAGCTGACGAGGAACCGTGTTAAACTATTATTTAATTTATTGTTTAGTTTGTGAAAAAGAAAATAAAAAAGACAAAAAATCAGAGCCCAAAGTTTCATGTAGGTTTGTTTTGTCCAAACCTCAAAATAATAACAATAAATTGAAAATTTTAAAAAAAAAATAAACACAACCAATTGTGGTGTTTGAAGTGCTGGAATAATAAAATTGGAAATATTCTTGCATAAAAATACACAATTATCAGATGTGCTGCAGATTATTTCCTAGTTTAATTTATTTATAAAAAGCAGCATTTGATATGTTTTATTAGCAAAAATCCTGATTGTGTAACCAAATCTAGTGGAGGGGAAATACAAAGCTGCATTAAAATATCTCAAACTTATTTATTATTCCACTGAAGGTTTCTGATTATCTTTCAGAACAGAAGAGAGCGAATAAAGATGTGAAGGCAGTGGAGCTTTTGTCTCCCCCTTCTGGCAGTGAGCGTAATTACAAAAACACTGTCGACTCTTAATTCTTCCTCTGGAGTTTCTGTTTGATCTGTAGCTTAAAAAAAACTTTCCTTGGATGCAGAAACCAGATTTAAAACTAGAATAAAGTGTGAAACTGGGCTTGAATGTTCATGTAAATGTTCAGACGTGCTCTTCATTCAGTAACACTGAACCAGACACTTGACAGGAGCGTATGAATGTGGAGTTTATTGTCAGGTGGGAGGACTGCTGTTGTTCTTGCTGCTGCTGCTGCTTTTCCTCTCCGTCACCGTCCTCCACATGCTGCTCAGGGTCACCCGGGCCATGAGCAGAGTGATGGTGAAGTTACGTCGGTACCATTCCCTGCATCAGAGAGGAGAAGACAAGCAAAAAAAACCAGAGTTAAATCAAGTCACGGATGCAGATTTCAGGGTTTGACTTTTCTATATCAGATGCTTATCGTCTAAATGAAGCCCCAGTGACAGATTTTTTTAATAGTTAGTGAAGTTTCTAAACTATCTGCTGTTATTTGTTCGAGACCCGCAAAATGGAGCGACGTATTTTTGAAAAGTTAAATTAAAAAGTTGATTAAAAAAGAAAAAAAAAAGAAAGTCAGCTCCAAAAATAAAACATGTGAGACTCCAGAACTCTGCAGCTACATGCGGTTCAGACAATGTCACCGGTTGATACATTATTTTGTCAATATGAGCTCAAACGCGGACGTTTTCACGATGGCTCCAGTTTCTCTATTCATTAGATTTGTGTGTCTGATGTTGTAGATTCTAAATCAAAGCCATGATGATGAAAAACAGAGAAAATGTCGCGTTTTTATCTTCCATAGTTCCTGAGATGTTGCTCAAACACGTGTGGAAAAAAAACCTGCTGAAAACGGGTGGACGGGCAGTTTCTAACAAGAACGAATCGCAGAAATTATTCGATATATCAGGATAAATGTTCACAAATATTTAATGCTGTAAAATTTTTATGCAAGTCAAAGATGGTGGAGCAGAAACTAATGTATGAACCTGATGATTTGAGACACAAGCCTCCTAAAAACGAATCGTCTTGACTGTTTCATCTCATCGTACTGCATCTTATTTACCTGTTTAATCAATTTAAAGTTTTATTGTTATTATTGCTATTGCGATTAAGAAAAAATGCATCTTCTCCCCCCGAAGACCACACAGGAAGCACATTTTTACTAACTGTGCCAGACTTCTGTGTTTTCCTTCACATAACAAAATGACGTTTGCATCGTAAACAGATGCAGAAAAGGAACAAATCGGTGCATTAAGCTACACCAGGAAGTTAAGCGTCTGATGCTCACGGTTTCATGTTTACCCCCCAAAATATTCAAACTAGCTGTGAATCCAGAAATGCAGGAACAGTGCTGCACAGGAAGCTCATTACGGAGATTTAAATAGACCAAGCTGAGACACGGTAACACCTGGGGGAGGAACCGAGGGAAGCTTCTCTTTGATTTACTCGAAGAGTGAAATGATCAGAAGTTGGAGCTTGAACCACAGGAATGAAGACGGCGAGCAGCAGCAGCAGAGGCGACGCGTGTGGGCGGGAAACTTTTACGAATCCCAGAAAACACTTTGCAAGTCTAATTTACGAGTTTGTCGCTTCGGTTTCAAGCAAAGAAACGACTCACTTGTTGTAATTTGCGTGTCGCGTTCTGTTCTTGTCCAGGAAGCTTTTGTAGAACTCGGCCATCTCCTCGCTGCTCAGGGTGCGCCGCCGTCCTGAGGGAACAGATTCTCATCAGCTTCACCGAGCAGGTTTGTTGTGTATTTAAGAAAACAACATTCTGAATAAACTCTTGAGACAATCGTGCATTTGATCTGCTTCAAACCAGTCGTACAATAAAATGCTTCTCACCGTCTTCATCGCGCAGAGTCAAGCCTTTCGCCTTCAGCTGTGAGATGATAAAAACTTCTTTTTCCTGCAGAAAGAATAAAAGTCAAGCTTTACCTTCACATTACTGCTGAAGCTCTTTATAACACACACCAACAGAAAGCTGCACACGACTAATCAAACGGCTAAATATCGACTTTTGCAATATTAAACATGAAAATCAAAACACTTCTGATTATTGAAGAGTTGAAAAATGAAAAGAAATTGAGGAAAACTTTCATATTTGAGCACAAATGAACTAAAACGTTGATTTATTTAAAAAGCAAGACAATCCTATTACACACTGCTTCACTTTTAGGGTCAGTTAACATCAATTTAAGTCTGTTTCATTTTAAATAACATTAAAATGTTTTATTATAACCACTTTCTTTGGTAGGAAACATTTCAATATTTTATTTGGATTGCGCGTATAATCTTTAATTATTCATCATCATGTTGCTTTTGTCAATATTAATGTCTAAATCTAGCTTTCTTTTTTCTATTTTTTTAATAAATTTTGTCTGTGGCTTGTAAATTTGTTTGAATTGCAAAAAAAAGTCTGACTGATTGATTGATATTAAACAGTACGGTCATTTTTTAACGTATATTTGCTGTTAATTATCATCAGAGTCGATGGATTTAACTCCCTGTTGAGTCTTTATCGGTTATTATCTTGTATTTGCTGCGTGATGCTGCTCTCTGCTGGTCAAAATAAGATCTTACACCCAGATGAACAAACATGCTAGTGTGAAACTAATCGACACAGAAAACTGACAGCTGGTTTAATTCCTCCTTCATCAGGGACCTTCTGCTCAACTTTCTCTGGTTTACATTAAACTTTATTATCAGAAATGTTGGATATTTAAAACAATATCCGACATTTTAGCTGGATTTATCGAACACTTTGTGAGGTTTTTTCCTTTAAAAATCGTCCGTTGACTCACTTTCTCACATTGAAATTTGAGTTTGTTTAAACGACAACATCTCAGGAATGAATAAAGATAAAAACCTGAAATGTTCACTCTAATTTCTCATCATGTCGTTGATTCAGAACCTGAAATATCCAACGAGTAACTCAAATATTCTCTGAATATGGGTGAGTTGACCAAAAAAAGAGGAAAAGTTGCATCTTTGAGATCAAAACTCTCGTGATATTTTCTGGACCGTATATAGAAGAGTTTACTTTCAAGCATCTTTTGCAATAAGTTCATGAGTTCAGTCGGTATCATAGACGAGGTAACAGCTCGCTCTGGTTTTTGTGCCGCAACTTGTCATATCTGACCAATCAGTCATGAAAGTTCAATGAATTGTTTTTTTTGGGTTTTTTTTCATTTTTGTGACCAAGTGATTCATATTAAAGTATTTTAGATGTTTAGTTTTGTATTATTGTGACTTGCAGCTATGTGTGGCTCATAAAATATCACTGGTTGACTTCTGCATCATAACGTTTTGGGTTTTTGGTCATATTTTAACTCAGCAATAATCAGAGACTATTTGATCTACTAGTCCAATACTGCAGATTCTGAATTCATTACATGATGACAAATCATCAAATCATCAAATCATCAGGGACCTCTTCTGTCTTTTCTCTTTTAAGTCATGAATTCTGGATATGTAGCTGAGCTGAGTGTGTGATGACCAGAGTGACTGAATATATGCCTAAATTTAAATATTATTTTCATGGCTATATTTGGAGAACCATTATTTTAATCTTTGTGCTACAACTTGTCACACCTGCTCTGCCCGCTATAAAAGTTCAACTACAATACCTTCCAAGTGTTTCATGTTAAAAGTATTCTAGATGTTTTATTTTGTATTATTGTGATAGAAAGCTCCGTGTGGCTCAGAAAATATCACTAACTGATTTAATAGCATTATGAATCTTCTTGTGAGCTCAAAGATGGGACTTTTTTTGGATTTCAACTCAGAGATTATTTGATCTATTTGTCTGATGTTTCAGATTCTGAATCAATGACATGATGAAAAATAACTGTGAAAATTTCAGGTTTTTATCTTCAACAGTTCCTTAGATGTCGTTCATACAGCCTCAAATTTCACCACCTTTATGTTTTTTGTTTTGTTTTTTTAAAAATGAAAATGTATCTCGGAACGAAAATAATCTTTCTACATAACCGTATTTTATGCCCTCAAAATCAGACATGGTTGAGCAGAAATTGTTCTAAAAATGAGATGATATGAGATGGAAGGAGGCAGCAGAGACGTCATCGAGATGGTTTATTCAACTATCCGTGGCTCTTCTCACACACTGTGCATGACGTCCGGCTTTTTCGGAGACTACAAACCTTCGTGTTCATGCTTCACGCTCACCTTGCTGAAGGTGATGTTCTGATTGGTCCAGAAGTCGTGGTTCCAGTCCTCGGTCTCCTGCCTCAGGTGTCGCAGGCGTCTCTCCAGCTCGGACTCGTTCTCAGGGACGTGGTAGACGATGGGCCGGAGGTTCGACAGGGGGTTCGGCGGACCGATCCAGTCGTGCGTGGAGCTCGCCGCCGGTCTGAAGGTCTGTGTGAAAAAAATCACAGTTGGTTGGTTCGTTGTCGTTAATAATTCCGCCGATTAAAACCTGATGAGGCAGAAAACGAATTACATGCATGACAGTAAACGTATTGTAGATCATCTGCAGTACCTGGTTGCTCCACCAGGTGGAGCCTCTTACTGTTTAGCACGATAGACACCTGAGGAGGCAGACTATGCTGGCAGGTCATGCTGGCTAGCAGAGAACATTATTCAGCTAATAAAGGGGCACCATGACAGAGACTTGTGTGACGCTGAATGCCTCCTGGTCAGCGCTTAGGTTTATCGAGGGAACTAAAATGCATTTAGGCATTATGGCCTCGTCAATAATAATCTAAATGGAGTGACCATAAAATCCGGCATGACTGCATCCAAAGCAGCTTCATCAGGACATAAGATGACAAATCATGACGGTCGTTGTGTGTTATCGATTAGTCAACTCTACATTGATAAGGCTGCCGCTTTTCAGTTTAAAATCTGCATCCCTAGCGCCAATTTATGCCGACAAAAAAAAGGCTATCAGATTGTTTTAACCTTCTGGTGTCACTTGTGGGCAACTGGAAAAGTGTTGCACGCGTTCATTCCATTTTAACTTTCTACTTTTTAGTGAAATAAATTCTTCTATATAATTTGTCATTCTAACTGTGTCGTGCTGCTCAGAAGACAGAGTTCTCTCCTTCTAGTCGTGGATGTTCTGTCAAACATTAAGCTGCAGCAGTTTGTTTATCAGTCCGGAGCAGACGTCGACATGGGCAGAGCGGCGAAGAGGAGCAGTCGATCCAGGGCTCAGAGGAAAGAAAAGAGGTGAATACAGCCACAAAACACTCATTTAAACCAGCTGAAGTCCTGCTAATACAGCAATTAACATACACAACAACTAGTTTCACTATTTACACACTGATGTAAAGGAATTTAACAACACTGTACTAAACTAGTGCTGCTAATTTCACTTTGTGCTACTGAAGTTTTTGTTTTTCAAAAATCTATTTTTTATTCAAATATTTCACTTTGCATGTTTTTGACAGCTACAGTTACAAACTACTCGTCAGATTAGGAATTTTCAACAACAAATTATTATTTCTATTAATTGCAAGTCTATTCATCTGTTCATTACAGTTTTTAAAAACTTTACAGTGACATCATATACAGAAAGAAATCCAAGCACAAACAAATCATTAATGTATTAATTGATTGATTGATTGACAGTGATTAATCTATTCATCTATTATTTAATTAATTTGTAAATAATTATTCAAATTATTGTAATTTTACGTGTATTTGACAGTTAGTGTTTCTGAATAATTTTCTGATCATGATAAGGAAAACCATTTTGAAATGCAGCGTAACGTTTACATGTGATAACTACAGCAACAAAATACTTTTAGAATCATGATTTTATGTAACAAAAAAAAGGAAATTAATTATTTTAATTAGTGATTTTTCAGTTCTTGATAATAATAATAATAATAATAATAATTAATAGTTAATAGATAAGTCACCAATTATTCATTCTTTTATAAACAATAATCATTGTTATTTTTAGAAAATCTATTAATTATTCAATTATTGCATTTTTAAATGTGTCTGACAGCTACAATGGCATACTATTTTTTTTGTTTATGTTTTATATACAAATATTATCAAAGCAGCAAAAACGATTATTTTATTAGCAATTAATTTAATCATCTTTTTTTTTTTTTTTAATTCTCTTCATAATAACATTAAAGTATTTTAACAAAAAAAAATAGTACAAAAATACATTTTGGCTTATAATTTGACATACATAAAATAAAAATCACAGCAGCATTATTATTATTATTATTTATTTATTTATTTTTAAATTATGGAATAATCATTAAAAATGTCCAGTTTGGGACAATTCATGGTCTCCAAAATATATTGAACAAAACTATGATACAAAAATTGATATATTTTAACATAAAGATTACAGATTTTTTATTAATATTTTATATATATTTTATTAATGGCTGTTTATTTTCTGTTATGATACATCCAAATTATCTTGCTTTAATATTAATAATTTAATGTAATACAATAAAGACTACAGTTACATAGTGTATTTACCTGCTACTAAAAAAGCAGAATTTAAATTAAATCGGAGTAATGTTTACATTTCGAACCTTGGCTGTTCGGTCCTGCGGGGCCGCCGGTCCGGAGCTGCTCGGCCGGCTGCAGGCTGCTGATAAGCGGGGAGACGGAAGCAGCGGAGCTCGGAGGAAGAAGCTCCTCCATGTTGCTGCTGCTGCTGCTGCTCCGGCGGCCATTTTAATTAACCGACACTAAACGGCGCATTAAACTAAATACATGACGTTTTAATAACCGAGTTACCGACCGGAGCGTCCCGCCGCTAATGTTTACAGAAACCGAGGCTGGGCTCGTGTCCTTCCACCAACCGCTTGGTCACGTGAGCTCGGCGGGGAGCGAAGTGGCGCTCGAAACACTCACCGGAACATCCGCGCACGGTGTCAGAATAATAGCACTGATGCACGTTAATATACCTAACATACACAGTAACGCAGAAGTTAAATTAAAAAAATAAAATAAAATTTAAAAAAAAGAATAATGATAGTAGTAAAAATTGCAAATGGGATTCATCCTAGCTTACAATATAGCAAATAAAAAAAATAAGAAAACGCAAATAAATGCAACAATTAAATCAGCATCCTTCTAAACAGAGAAGGGAAATGACTTAAACATATTGCTAGGAATTAAATACATAAAAACATGGGTTTAAAAAAGATGCTAAAATAAAAAATGTTAGAATTAATAATTAATACATTTTCATACATTTCCGAGTTTGTCTTTGGTTGTTTATTCCTACATTTCTGTCGTTTTTTGGTTTTTTTTTGTTCTTGTGTCTCTACATTTAGCTACTTTTCCTCCTTTAGTCTACATTTATCTATTTCTGTATTTCCACGTCCACGTCCTGTCTTCTTTTTGGTGTTCAATATGACATATATAAATATTTCATTTATTTATTTTTCATTTGTTTATTTTTTAGATTTCTTTAAGTATTTCTACCCTAAGTTTTTAAAAAATGTACATCTTTTGTACTTTATTTACTCTCAATTTTAATATTAATTTATATTTTTTCTGTATTGCTAAATTTGTACTTTATTTCTAGATTTTTTTTATCCTTTTCAGGATTTTGATATTTTGCTCATTTCTTTCTTTCTTTCTTTCTTTCTTTTTTTTTTTGAATGTTTCTATATTTTCTGCACACATTCAGTTATTTATCTCCTTTGTTCCTTCTCTTATTTTTTTTATATCCTTTTTTGTTAATTTATGAAAAAAAAAATCAATTTGATTTATTTATTTTGTATTTCTTCATTTTAAAATCTGTTTTTGTTCATTTATTTTGCATTTCTATATTCCTCTATTTATACATATATTTTAGCATTTTTATACTTTTTTTCTTCATTTATTTACCTTGATTTTTATTTATTTAAATTCCTTTTGTTTCTGCATGACTGTGTTTATTCATTTTTAATTTTTTTATGTATTCATTCCAGGATTTTTACCTTTAATTTATTTCTGTAGTTCAATTTTTTTCATTTGTTTTTACATTTACTCCTCTATTTACCTCTTCTATTTCTACATGTATTTTTTTAATATCTTCATTCATTCATTTATTCCGACATTTACTCATTTTTTTCAACGTGTACTTTTACATTTTTTGTGGTTGATTTTTTTCTAGATATATTAATTTATTCCGTTCTTCATCTCTTTATTTCTGTTACCCTGTAACTGCCTGATCGGCAGCCTGCGCTCCATTTAGTGTCCCCGCCTTTGCCACTTCGTACAAACTGCGGGACGCTACAACCAAATGAAGCGCACCTCCTGTTGGCCAACGAAAACTTACACTCGGTTAAAAATAGTAAAGCCGGACATCAGAAAGCAAACACGTCCGTTCAACCTTTTCTGTGTATATATGAATTTAGTACACTTTATTTAATCATCGACTGTTACCTCGGACTTAAAAACATCAAGTCAGCTCGGATAAAACGTCGTAAATTGAACGTTACTGGTGAAAGACGAACTCCGCGTTAGTTCGGGCTGCGAGCAGGAAAGTAACTACTAGAAGGTAGCTAGGTGGGCTAATGTTTAGCTTTAATCCCGGGAGGAGCGCACTTTTCCGCAGAGCTTCAGATGGCTGTCCGGTGGCTATGCAGGTAAGAGTGAAATATTTAAGTGTGGGAGTTCGGTTCGGAGCGCTGGGAGCCGAAAACCCGGAGCTGTTTGTCAGAGGTGGGGCAGAGTCAGGTGATCAGCGGCTGCTAGCTTCACGCACCGACAGCAGCCTCCGCGGAGCCGCGCGCTGAACAACGGCCGCGTCGCTGCCTCCGAAACCTGCTTTTATTTATTCAGTCCGGCGCCGCTAACGGCTTTATTTTTAAACCAACTCGCCGTGAAGCGCAGCGGAGCGAGAGGGAGGCTGTGGGAGGGGCGACAGCAGCCGACCGCAGTCACTCGGTCGAAGGCAGGCAGACGCCGCTGGAGCTGACCGGAGCATCACCGCCGAGCCAGCCCGTCACATCCCGGCTCCGTCCACCTGGATGCCGCTTTCCTCCACCTGCCTTGGCTGATGGAAACAGACATCCGCGAAAATGTGCGCGAATGTGTTCGGAGTTCTGAAGAGGTGAGACGAACCGAGCCGCTGCCCGCTGCTGTCTGGTGCTGCTGCTGGGATGTGGCCGTGTGTGTGCGGGGATGCAGCTGACAGCTCCCGGGGAGGCTCCCGGGCTGGTCGGCGAGGAGGTGTGGTGCCGCTTCAGGCTCGGATCATCCGCCGGTTTCTCTGCGGTGGTGCTGGTGGTGCTGGCGGTGGATGTCCTCCGCAGACAGCCCCGGCTCGGCTCGGCTCGGCTCGGTTTTCCGTGGTGACATAATGCGCAAAGCCGTGCAGCAGGACCGGTGCTGGGGGAAGGAGGTGCTGGATGCGTGTTACCGACGGGCTGGGAAATAGATCACCTTCCAATCAATCACTATCGATCATCTGGTTTCATTAGAGAGCAGGATGGAGAAGGGTTTAACCTGTTTGTCAGGGCGCACAGGTGATAAATGCATCTGGATGTATTAATAAATGAGGCGAGACGAATGATCCCGGATCTGCAGGTGCACAGAGGACGAGCAGGACCGAGCCTGATCCGGTGTCACCGCACGGAGACCCAGTAGAACCTGTCAGGCCCTTAGAGGAGATCGATAGGTGCATGGGTTAGCTGGAGGTGTTTGCACAGGTGCAGCCGATTTAGGTTGAGCTATTAATCGATTAATCGAGCAAAGGTTGCAATTGAGAATACACTGAAGCTGCAGGCCTGACTCGGATTTTGAACTGTAGTGTTAGTAGTGCTACAGATATGTTGTCTTACATCCCAGTGGAACATCATTTGGCTGTTTTCATGGTTGAAGCTCTCTGTTTCAAGATGGAATATGCAAAAAAAAAAATCAGAATGATGAAGGCCAGTGGTGCTACAAGAGTCCAGGTTTGGCTCCTGTTCTCTCTTATCTCGATGATGCCATGTTTTACATTCACGACACAGTGAATATTGAATATAGTGAAGCTTGAGATTAAAACGTTTTATCGCAATATATTTTCCTCAAATGGTTCAGGTCTGTGGAGTGACGGGAGGTCCAGGCGGCTGCAGACTAGCTCACCTTGGGAGACCTGCACCGTGGCTGCAGGGAGAGCGATGGTGGGCAACGTGGGCTCCGTTATCAATAGATATGATCGGTTGTTGTGATCCAGGGAGGGAGCAAGATTAGGGTTTGTTCTTGCACATGAACTTTGTGCTTTTGTTACGTGCTTTCATGGTGCTTTGATGCATTTAACCTGTGAACACGAAGCACTTCCTGGGTGTCACACTTGTGGTTCAGTGTTTAATCCTGCACCTCTAACAGCAGAACCATGACTAGAAGGAGAAAGAACCCAAATGTTATTTATTTTACGAACATCGTGAAAACCTGAAATCAACATTTACAACATTTTTTCAAGTGTCCCCAGTACTGGAGGGGGAAAATAGTGTCTCTAGGTGCTACAGATATTTGTCTATTTACATGTTTAACCTGTCTCCTCTCTGCTCTGAGTAAACACAGCCTGCAGTTCAGCTGAAAACTCCCTGAGTTTTTTTTTTGTCACGTGACCGTTTGTTGCAGCCGAGTCAGAAGTAGCCTCATAGTTTTGCTGAGGAGTGCAGATTTTTTTCCGTTTTCTACGGAATGTGGTTATTGCAAATGATTTATTTTTGGAAAATTCTTGAATGAAACCTGGAGAATAAAGTGATTTTGCAGAAATAGCAAAAAAGAAATTCTTCTCAAATGAGTAGGATCATCTGAAAGCTCAAAATCTGCTGATTATTTCTTTTTTTTCAATCATTCTTGACTCTGGTAATGCTGAAATTTTGATCATTTTACAGTTTTATATATATATGTGTGTGTGTGTGTGTGTGTGTGTGTGTGTGTGTGTGTGTGTGTGTGTGTGTGTGTATTTGGGAAGTTTGGAGATTCAGAGCATTAAGTGAAACTATGAAACACTTGAGCATTTTCCTTCTTGCCGTCGTCGGTGCATGTCGCCGTCATCTTATCGCCTGGTGTTACCTGCGGCTCGGTTAGCCTTCATGACTCATGTGAGGCGTAAACAGCCTGAAGTCGGTCCTTTTTCTCGTCTATCTTGGATCTAACTCGGGGACGAGGTGTTTGCCAGGCTGGAGTGGATTTTGCTGAGATTATCCTAATAAATGCTCAGATTTGTAAGCCGCGGCCCAGCATGTGCTCATCCACTGTTCTGGAAACGCCCGGCCCCTCGCCCTCTTACATAAAAGTACTTTAGGGAACGCTGATACATAATCCTGCCCATTCTAATAAGCGTTATTGATGCCGTGGATAACTAAACATCGTGCTGTGGAAAGGCCGCGCTTTGAGGCGCCTCGGCCGACGGTGACGGTTCGTCTCGCGATGCGGCGGCTGCACAGTTCTGCTGCACAAACTCAAATCCACTCCTTATCTTAATCCTGGTGTTACCCGTCGCCCTGAAGATGTACAGAGTTCACTTTGATGTGGACGTTTCCTTTTATCTAAATGCAGAGTAGGTTTTTAAATAAACTAGACGAGACGTCTGCATTGTGATGATGGATGAAGCAACATTTCAAATTCAGCAGGACAGCAGCGCTCACAGTAGCAATACATAACCTGCATCCGAGGCTGGCTCTGAAGGTTTCCTGTAATATTTTGTCCAGCGTGCAGCGGCGTTTAGAATAATGTTTGTACAGACTGCCAGCGTGGATCTGCAATAACTTGTTCAGATTATTGAACCAAAAGCGAAACACAGGAGTTTAGGTTCTGCAATGTGTGACTGAGGGAGACACAAACAGCTATGAGGAGATCCCAAACTGCTGCAAAACGCTGCAAAATCACAATAAAGACATGAAAATTGACAACAAGGACATTCAAAGCATCTACAGAGAGACTCAAAGACACATAAAATGTCCACAAAGCGTTGCAAAACAGCCGCAGACAGTACGCTGAGCGACTACAGAGACAAAAAGTCCACAAACACATGCAAAACGTGTACAAAGACGTGTAAAAATGTAGAAAAAAGATGCAAAACGACTGCAAGGAGATGCAAAGTGACAACGCAGAGACGCACAGTGATGCAAATATCGACAAAAGCACACAAAACAACTAGAAACAGACACAAAACTGCTTCAGAGACACACAAATGGACCACAAGGAGACCTAGACCGACTATAACGGATGCACAGGAACTACAAAGAGATGGAAAATGACTACAGAGATGCACAAAACAGATAGAGAAAAACACTAATGGACCAGAACTACTGATGTTTAGAGAAATGCAAACTACAAAGAGACAGAACAGCCACATGAAGACACAAATGACCACAAAACAATGGAAAATGACCAAAAGAGACGAATCTGTAACTAAAAAAAATCCCAAATGACCTTAAAGACGAGCAAAGCAACTGCAAAGAGGCGCCACTGCCTCGTCTGCAGCCGTCTTGTTCGTATGCAGATTGTTTTCACGTCGTTCGGTGTGTAAGATTTCAGGAAGAAAAAAGAAAAAACACGTGTCGTCTTCAAATGTCCTGTTTCGTGCAGCCAACCTAAAAATATTCTGTTTGCAGCGACGTGACACAGAGAAGAGCAGCCAGCCTTCACACCGGAGACGCTGGAATCGAGCAAAGCTTTGGCTGGAAGAAAAAATGACTTGAATCGTTTCAGCTTGGTCATTAATCCGACGCTTGTTGCGCCGGGATTAAACTCGGCAGCCCGAGGCACCTGTAACGCGTCTGACCGAACCTTCAGCGGCGGCAACGCGAAGCCTCCGAGCAGTTCTGGGCGTCGGTCGGCTGCGCTCGTTTCCGGCTCGGTGTTTAAAGCTTGATGGGCAGGAAAGGAGCCTTTTTAATGTGGATTAGAGCGATATCAGCATCATGTCAGCCGGCGGGCCTGATACTCCGCGATGCTCCAAACGGTTGTCATGTGGGTGTTCTTCTTGTCGAGACGAAATGTAGGTTAACCTCATTCGTTTTTTCTTCCTGCACGGCTGTAAGGACGGAATTTCACATGAATACATTATGTGGGTCTTTAGCTGGGCCGCCATCGAATCGATCAGAAGAAATGAAGACTCGTCGGTGCACATCAGGAGATATTTCCAGTCTTTAAGAGCGCCTACGCTGATTTATTTTCTCAGGGATGCCTGCAGAACAACTGTGTTACCATTGGTGATTCTTTTAATGTTCAGGTTATTTGTGATTTATGTGTTCGCTACTTTAAAGGTCGCATATTTTGCCCCGTTCAACAAATTACCGTAAATTCTGGACTACAGAGCGCACCTGAATATAAGCCGCACCCACTAACTTTAAAAAGAAAACCAGCTTTGTACATATACAGGACCGCACTGGTCTATAAGCTGCAGGTGTCCACGTTGTAACACGAGATATTTACACAGAAAGATTTTTTAAAACTTTTAATTAAATTCGTACCGGTAACATACACAAATACGTAAATGCTTTTTTCCGAACAGTGCCTGTAACACGGCTGGTTAAGAAAATAAAAACTACAGTAGCCCTACCAGGAAAAGTCATTGATCGCTACCTTCATCTTCCTCCTGAAAACCACTAAAGTCGTCTTCTTCAGTTGAACAGCCTCAGAATCACTTCGTCACAAACTTCCTCAGTCTCTCTGTCGTTGTCGCTCTTAATGTCACTTTGGTCTCGAGGCAAATTCGTAAAAATCCAAAAATTAGGAAGGTATTAAGCCGCAGTGTCCAAAGCGTGTGAAAAAAAGTAGCGGCTTATAGTCCGGAATTTACGGTGCTAGAAGTCTTACTCGTATGTTTCAGTTTTTCGGCTCAACATACTATAAAGATGGTTCATTTCACCACATCTGGTTTTAGCCTTGTTCTAAATTCACTGTGAAAACCAACGAGCTGCTGCTGCTGGCCCCGCCCCCCTCATGTAGAAAAGTCTCACTACGTCCGTGATTGACAGCGCAGGTAAAAAAACAAAACAAAACAAAAAAAACAGCTGGCCACATGGCCGCTGACACAACTTTCTCCGAACAACTGATGTGAAAACATCTCTGAATTCACAGCCGACATATTTTTTAACTCGTGCGTTTGGTGTCAGAAAAAAAGATGTGGTGACAAAATCGGTATTTCAGCTGCAGAGCTGCGTTTCATCCACGATTTCATACTCGTTCGGTTTTCTGACAAACAGAAAAACTTGTAAATGACAACAGCTTTATTTGGATTTCGTCTGTATTAAAATGCAGTTTATGTGAGCACAGAGAGCAGGAGAGAAGCTACCAAAAGTTTAGGCTAAACTGAAGCACAACAGGCAACATGAAAACACAGTGACCCACCCAGTCCTTGTTTATTAGTTTAAATCAAGGTTTCCGCCATCTTTTAAACACCCAGTTTCCACAGAGCTCTGACCTGCGGACATACGATCAAAGCTAGTGTTAGCCATGTTAGCTGCGTTAACGTGAAGGATTTTACTATTGTTGTAGTGATGCTGCTGTCAATAATAACTATAATCCACTGGGTGCTCAGTTCATCAGATGCTGGCAGTGCATGAAGACTCTTGTGTTCACTCTTGCAGCCGACAGCAGTGGGGTTTTCTTGTAGCTCAGACGTTATAAAGTTAGTAGAAGCAGCTGTAGAAGGTAAATAAACCTGGTGGACTGTGAGGCAGCTGTTGGTTCTGATTGGTTGAGCTATGCAAAGTTGATAACTGTTGAGTAGAATAAAACCCAGGAGGTCATCTAGAGGTCGAGGTTTTGAGGGATGGTAGGAGTTTCATATTTTCACAGCTTTTATTTTACTCCTTTGCATATTTAAAACCTACAAAACACAACCTTTAAATCACTTTTTTGTTACAAGGCTTTCTTGTAAATTTTCTTTAAATGTTTATGTTTGTAGAGTTTTGCATTCTTCTATTTTAGCTTTACATTAGCCCATTGTTGTCATACTTTGTCCTGAGTTATTTATCATACGGCTTTTTTTTCCCACTCTTGTTCTCTTTTTTTTTATTATGTGCCTTTTCTGCTTGTGTTGAACGTTGATGTTTATTATTAATATTATTTAAATTGACACCTTTCTGACAAACAAAACTGGACTTTGTAAAGCTGCTGCATTAGATTGTGCCAAATATAGCTACTAAAAATTCACAGTTATTTAAAAAAGTTTAAGGGATCCTTTCATGTATATTGTTATGGTTGAGGAGGTATCGGCTTTAATAATCCTCCGTGCTGTAGCTCCAGCTCTTGCAGAGGACTGGATTTCCGACATGTTAAGTGTGACCGAGTATCCAGCACACTGGAGTATCGACATCCGTGATTCGGAGGTGGTGGGCGTCAGTCTCCAGGCATCTCAGCCGCCTTCCTGGTTGTGTCAAAAGGTCACAGAGTGCTTGAATAGCAGGAATAGCTGTTGTTTCCACACAGTGCAACACAAATGGCACATTGTTTACATGTTAAGTAGCTTGTGAGAGCAGGCCGATGGCCGCCACACTGCTGTGAATTCCTCTGGTGGAGATCTCAATGCTTGGCCCAGAGTTTGCAGCTCTGGCGGAGATCCAGTCATTAGCTGGAGGTCCTGTTGAACCAGTGGAGGCTGTGGACAAAGGAGTAGAAAGTTTTGAAGTAATCCGCCCATTCTAACAGTGTGAGCTCTGCTGAGGCTCTTTGTCCTCATTGTTCTGACTTTCCTTTCTCTTGCAGCCTGTTTGGGAAGCCCTTTGATGGTGGGAAGAGGATGGACCATGGCGGTCCACAGCAGCAGCAGCATCCCATGGAGCAGCAGCAGCAGCCGTATCATCCGCAGCATCCCGCCATGATGCGGCTGTACGAGGTGCAGAAGGAGGTGGCGTCCCTCGGGCCGCAGGTCTGCACCTTCAGCGGCATGCAGAACGACCGAGACTACAAGCGTCTGGAGCGAGAGCTGACCCGGCTGCTGCTAGAGGTGGACCAGGTGGACACGGAGGGCAAACCGGAGCTGCAGGGGGCTCGGAAGAGGGCGGCGCAGGAGGTGGAGGGCCTGCTGCGCTACCTGGAGGAGAACGCCACCCATCCGTCCCGTCTGGCCATTGAGGATCTGAGCACCAAGGCCCGGCAGCTGGTGGACGAGCGCGTCGTGGCTCCGCAAAGAGCCGGCGGCGTCGCCGAGATCAACGACGAGCTGGTGGACGCCCTGCAGGAGCTGGTGCTGAGGCTAACCCAGGTGAAGACCGAGGGGAGGGTGCCGCTCCGCAAAGCCCGCTACCGGGCGCTAACACGCCTGTGCGCCGTGCAGGACGTGATCGAAGGGCGGACGCAGCAGCAGACCCTGTCGCTGCCGCTGTCAGGCGACACCCACGAGGCCGTGCACCGCATCAACCAGGTGATGGTGAAGGTGAGCGTGGCCCGCGGCCAGCTGGTGGCGCTGCTGATGGGGCTGAGCGGGAGGGACAGCTGTGCCCACCTGTCGCGCATCCTGACGGAGATGCAGGTGGAGCTGGACGCTCTGGATGTATCCGGAAACGCAGCAATCAGAAACTACAGGAAGCAGGTTGTGGAGGAGATTAACGGGCTGCTGAAACACCTGGACCTGGAGGGGGAGGGAGACGACACGCGCAGGTAAACAACGAAGCCGTGCACCGTGACGGATTCGTGGAAAACAGTCAGTCATTTTGGTCTGTGAACCCTCTGAACACCAAGTGGTTTTTCAGTTATAGCAGAAGAAATCAAGGAGGTCGAGAAAAGCCTCCTCAGTGCATGTATGAGGAGATATTTTCAGTCTTTAGAAGCTCCTACACTGACTGTATGTGGGATCCTGTTGTCAGTGCGGTCTGCTTCATATTAACACTAACAACGAAAAAAAAAGGCAGGTTTTGGAGTTCTATTGAACTATTTTGTTACCGGTATAAACGTAGTTAACATGTATTTCCCACAGGTGACACTAATACTGGAAACAAGGGGTGGCTCTGAATACTACAGATATTTAACTGTTTACATTTTTACAACTTCCACAAACTCTGCATTTTTCACACATCATCAGTAGAAAGATGTTCCACCATGCTGGATGTATCTCCAACAACTGGCTCCTCTGCTCTCTGGTTCTGATCCATGCTGCATTTATTTATTAATGCAGCAGGTTGGATTTTCCTCTCAGTCTCTCTGCGGAAACACTGCCTGCAGTTCAGCCCAATAGTTCCATGGCCTTTGAGTTGAGCCGAAGATTACATCACGTTTTGGTTTTTTGAGAATTTAGTTGTTTTTTTTGTTGTTGTTGTTTTTTTGTAAATTTTTAAACAAGACGTGTAGAAGAAAGCGATTTCAATAAAACATCTGAATTTTAAGCTTAGATTTGGTTAGTTATCCCAACATAACTATAAGTCACACATGATTCGTTCATGGACTTTTGGAAGGTGTAGAATGCAGATTTTTTTCCCTGTTTTTAGCTTTTTGGCTCCGATAAGTAGTTTAATTTTGGCGATTTAAAAAAAAACAAACAGATATGACTCATTTTCAAACCTGCTGGCGGTTTAATGTTAGAAATAGTGGTGAAATCTAATCCAGTCATAACTTCCAAGATGTTTTGTTTTGTCAGACCTTCAGTTGACAACCAAAGATATTCAATTTATTAGTATAAAAACCAGTAAATGTTCACTGAGTAACTGCTTCAGCTCCAGTTCATTCTGGATCGCAGGTGTCCAGCTTGGAAGAGTCCAAACTCACGAAGCCGTGCAGGAGGATGAATTTCCATTTGATCTGAATTAGACTCACATCACCAGATGTCAGGCTTGTTTTTCACCAACACGCCCACCGAGCTCTCCATTACGTGGAACCGCCGACTCTAGTGCCGATCCAAGCACCACTCCAGTCACACAGTGTTTTTGTGCTGCCTGGATTTAGGCTTCAATTACAGTAATTAAAAAACAAAAAAAAAGTGTAAAATGGAAAGTGTTTTTTTTAACCGATTTAACTCAGAAACTAAATAGAAATGTGAATAAAACATAATATATGAGTAATATTTTGAGTATTAACCAAATAAAATACATTCAAGGGGTTTTATTTTGGCAGCAGTCGTCTTTGATTCATTTTTCCTGCCATTGAGCAGCTCAGTCGGGTCATCTGGAGGTCGTGTTTGCAGATCAGAGCCAGACCGTAACGGACCACGATGATCGGATTTTATCATGTTATCACTGAAGGATAATCAAGCAGCTGTAAAGTACTGATCTAATGGAGTAACTGTGGCAGGATGCAAGTATTGGGGAGGGCGGTGCAGCTTCTAAAGCCCCATTAGGCTAATTGGTGATTTATAATATCGTGCAGTGATTAGTATGTACGAGCTTTAAATAAAATAGTAGAAAAATATAAAGTCCTGCTGCAGCTCTGTGGAAACAGAACAACCATGCAGACGGAGAGAGACTCAGAAATATCATCTGTCAGTGTGACACAGAGGGAATGAAATCACAAAAACAAAAACAAAAAAGTCAAATTGCTTTGATTATTTATTTTTGAAAAATTAAAAAAAAAATCTGGATTCAACTTGTTAAACATTTTTCTACATTCTCACATTTGTTATCAGCACTAGAAAAGAAATATTGACTTGACATGCTTTAGATATTTTACTATTTCATTTGTTTTCCTATTTGAACACTGCCTGCAGTTCAGCTGAACATCTCTGAATTTATATTCTTGGTCACCAAAGGCGTCATGGTTGCACCAAGAAGCGCTTATTTTTTTGTTATTTGCAGAATCTGTTTAATGCAAACTTGTTTATTTTTAGCGAATTTTTAAATAAGACAGTAGAATAAAGTGAATGAAGTCCTCTGACGGAGCTGCACGTCGCAAAAGGTCATACGATGACTGTTGGAAAGTGTAAAATCTGACGATTCTTGCAGTTTTCTGGCTCTGATAACTGGTGTAACTGGTGATTTTTGGGTTTTTTTCGTATAACCTGCCTTTAAAAAGTTGAGGTTCAGAGTGTTGAATAAGCAGCTTGTCATCAGCTGCCAGACAAATGTGATGTGAGGCGACAGTAGGAGTTTAATTCAAATTTTTTAGGATTTTTTTGCAACATTTCAGAAGCTTAATGAATTCTCACTTGATTATTTTTTGGAAAGTGTTGCTGGAATCTGGTCGATTCTTGCTGCAGGTTTTGGAGCTCTGATTCTGTTCGTCTCTGCAGGTACGACTTGGCGCAGAACAACTCCATCCGTGAGATCGAGGCGGTGCGAGCTCACGTGTCCCACCTCCGAGAGGGCGTCCTGCGGCACTGCGCGATGGGCGACCTCGGCTTCAGGCCCAAGGCCGAGCTGCAGAGCCTCCTCACGCACCTGGACCAGGTGGACACGGCCAAGAACCCGTGCATCCGAGAGGCCCGCCGCCGCGCCGTGGTGGAGGTCCAGGCCATCATCACCTTCCTGGACCTCCGCGAGGCACTGGCCCGCCGCCAGCCGGGCGCCAGCGAGCACCCGTCGCACCGGGCTGTGTGGCTGGTCCTGGGGAGCCTGTCGGACCTCCAGGCCCAGGTGCTCGGCTACGAGGGCAAGCGGGCCGACAAGAGCTACATGATGCTGGAGGAGCTGCTGACCAAGCAGCTACTGATGCTGGACGCCGTGGACCCGCAGGGCGACGAGACCACCAAGGTGGCGAGGAAGCAGGCGGTGAAGTTCGCCCAGAACATTCTCAACTACCTGGACATGAAGACGGACGAGTGGGAGTACTGACCCGACGGACGGGACGTCGCTGCAGCAACGAAGGGAGCTGATAATGTGTGTAAATAAAGACAAACTGGTACGTTATCATTCCACGGGCTGTAAATATGGACTCAAACCCCCAGAATGCACTGCAGCAGCGCTTCTCTTTCGTCTCTTTGTGGTAGTCATGGCCGACCCTGCTGAGAAACACGGAACTCCTTTTGTGAAACACACTTTGACGATTTTTTTTTCTTTTTCTTTTTTTTTTTGTGCTTTTTGGAGATTTCTTTCCATATCTCCTATCTGTGTGTGTGTGTGTGTGTGTGTGTGTGTGTGAGCGAGTGTGTGAGTCTGTTGTGTTTGGTGTGTGGTCGTCGAAGCCTGCTGCTGCCAAAGCACTAAGTAATGCCTGTTCCAGTGGTCGTTTCCTGCAGACTGCACTTGATGTTGATAAATTAGCGAGTGTGATGGATCGCTTCGCAGTGCCCCCCCCCCCCCCCGTCGCTCTGATTAGTCTGAGCCGGTTAACGGAGACGAACGACGCCGCATGCGTTAAATACAGCGACCTGATTAGACGGAGGCCGAGATACCTGCTGGTTCTGACTGATCTGGAGCGTAGATAGGAAATTTATTTAATCTGCAGTGAAATGTGTGTCGATGCAGCCGAGGGAGCATCTATGGCGAGTCGTTTTAACACGTGATGAACTTTAATCAGTCACATGGAACATTTCAGATATCATCAGGACAAATTGCTCTTACTGCTCGGATGTATGAGGTTTCTCGTTACTGATATCGGCTTCAGAGCTGCAGAGTCATAATTTTCAACCAGCAAGTAATATATTGTAGAATCTCAAACTGGAATTCTGACGTTGAAAAAAAATGTTGAATTTATTTTACAGAAATTGAGAAAAAAAAAATAGAATCAACATGTGCAACTTCTTTTAAAGTACCCCCAAATGTTATGAATATTGATTTCTTAAAAATGGAAGCGCTACATAGGACAGATATTTAACAATGTGTAAACGCTGCCTGCAGTTCAGCTGAAAAAGTTCCTGAATTTATGTCACGTGACCGTTGGTCGCAGCTGAGCCACTAACGGCTTCACGGTTGCACAGAGAAACGCAGAATTTTTTGTTTTTCACAGAATCCAATTAGAGCAAACAGAATATTTTCTGCGAATATTTAAATTAGGCAGGTAGAATAAATTTGAAGCTTAAATTTGGTTAATTTAGCAGACGATTCTTTCTGTTTTTGCGTCTTATGATAAATGCTGTTAATTCAGCTGTTTTTATAACACACGAACCTGCCTGTGTGTTTCGGGGTTCAGAAGGTTAAACAAATTCAGAAAATCCAAGTATTCTGGCAGCTTTTGTCCAAATTAAAGGCCTTTTACTTGAAATTGTCTTTAAAGGTTAAAACCTTTTATTTTTATTTTCAAATTCAAAAGTCAAAAAGCTTTTACAGTTTCTGGCTGTGATCAATTTTGTAATTTCTACAATTGAGATGAGACGTCCTGCATTTCAAACCCGGTCTGGAGGGTTAAGCGCTAGAACGGCTCGCCATAAATACCAGAGGTGACATTTTTCCAGAGCGCCAGCCGGTATTCAGGCCAGACAATCTGTGTTTAAACAGATGTGATTAGAGACGGGGCGGCGTTGCTCGGTTCGGGATCTCTGGCGGCGCTGGAATCTGTGTCGGGACGTGATGTTGGGATGTTGGAGACAGGGAGCGGGATGTCTGAGCAGATGAGAGCACCTTCCCTTCCCCTCCCCTCGCCGCTTGCTGTTAGTCTGTAACTCGTTTCAAATGTTTGTTGTGACTTCGTATGATCGGCTATAAATGGCTCAGAGATGGAGGAGCGGCGGAGGCGAACGATTTTTTTTTTTTGCTGCTGCTGCTGCTGCTGTTGCTGCTTTGGTGTTTTATTTTTTTGGTTCCTACCCACTGCTTTCTACCGACGGAGGACTGCGAGGTCCCCGGGGAGACGGAGGGAGGCGGCGGCATCCGCTGGATTGACACATCAAGGCGGAGGCCGACAGTTGGTCCTGTGCGGCGGAGAGTGTTGACGTGATCGCAGCCGACAGAGCCTTCTAGAAACTTCTCCAAGCTGCTGCTTCTGCTGCTGCTGGAGACGGTGGGCGGGAGGGAGGATGTAGTAGAGAAATCCAAATCTCTGTGCCTTTATTTTCACCTTCCCCAAGAGCCGGTCTGCGTGAAAAAAAAAGCAGCAAAGTTCTCGAAATGAATCGATGCACAAGAATGAGGCGACTGGAGCACCTTCGGCCGTTTGTCGCCGCAAGAAGAAAATTTGCACTACTCAGAGACCGGTGTTTATCCCCCCTGGTGAAGTCGTGGTCATCGGTTTGTAGTAACACAGGCTCTGTTTTCAGCAGCATGAGTCATGCGTTCACACTGAGAGCAGCCTCGCAGACGGAGCAGGAACGATTAGGCGATTAAACGGCTTCGCAGCTTCGCCCCGACCTTCAGATACGAGCAGACGACTGTGGAGACGCCTCAGTTAGTGACAAGACAGAAAAGACAAGCCTTAAACGTGTGTTCTCTCTGACAGCCAGCAGGGGGCGACTCCTGGCTGCAGATTGCATAGACGTCAGTGAGAAAATGAGCCGACTTCTAACTCGATTTATTACTCAAGCAAACTTTTTCCCAATGAGTTTATGGCGTCCATCACTAGTTTAAAGTCTCCTCCAATGCAGCATGACGTGTAGTTTTCAAATTATGTTCCCATTTTAAGTAAAATAGACAAGAAACTAGTGTTGTAGTTAGAGCCGGGCCGGACGAAGACCAAAATATAAAACTGAGCCGTGTTTGAACTGATGGCGTTTTTAGCTTTTATTTTACGAAATAAAAACTAAAAAACTAGAAGACGTGACCTTTCAGGTGAAGGCTCATGTGAGATTTGGCTAAACGTGCTAATAATTTATTCAACGTCCTCGTCATTTCACATCACAATGTTGCTTTTCATTTGTAATTTGGGACTCAAAACTAAATTCTGTAAAATATTGTGGCTGAATTTTAAGACTTTCCTGAGATAATGTCCTGAATTCTGTCTGAATCGACACCGACTGATCCCAAAGACACTTCATGACACGTATTTATATTCATTTTTAAGGAAATGTTGGAATAAGTCTGAACATTTCACTTTTAAATTAGCAGATTTATTCCACTACATGATAAAAAAAAATAAACTCAGCAGCAGCTACTTAATGGACTCAGAGGTGGGAAGGTTTTTGTGAACTAACATTTCCCCAGCAAGGAAACTCTCAACATTTGAACCAATCAGAAAGTTTGATTAAGTCGTGTTTTAGCCACATGATAAACAAGGACATTTTTAAGAAACTACAAGGTGTTACCTTTCAAATTTAGCCTCACACAAGCGGTTTGGTCGTACAGTTCCTCTGCTAGAAGCTTTTCCATTTGACCAAAAACTCTATAAAGAAGGTGAAAGCTGAGAGGTTACACTTATTGTTTGAACTGCTTGTGTTTTAGCCACATGCTAAATAAGCACAGTTTCAGAAACTATTAGCATTTTGAGCTTACAATTCATCTGTTTGCCGCTTTTCTATTTGGCCAAAAATCCCATAAAAAGAAAGTTAAAGACATGCATTGACATATTTAGGACTTTTTTAAGGAAATGCAGAAACTCTGCACTGAGCTGAACTTGTGTTGCTTTGAAGAAATTAAATATTTCTTGTTTAAACGGGCAGATTTCATCCTCTGCTTGACAGAAAATACACTAAATCCTTCTGCTATCCGCTCCGATTTAGTCAAATGAGCATAAACTCTATAAAAAGATGGACACTACGAGGTTTGAACTGATGTAGTTTAGCTTGTGTTTTAGCCACGTGCTAAATTAGCACAGTTTCAGAAACTATAAGAAGCTCCCTTTCAAATGAAGTCTGACTTAAGCACTTTGGTTTTCTGTTGAAGGCTTTTCTGTTTGGCCAGATGGTCAATAATCCCATAAAAAGGAAGGAAATTAAGAAGTTGAAGACATGCTTTGACGTGTTTATTACTTTTTTTAAGCAAATGCAGAAAGTCTTTACTAAGCTGAAGAAATTTGGAAGAAATCTAAAAATGTCTGGTTTAAACGGGCAGATTTCATCCTCCAACTGACAGAAAAATACACTAAATCCTTCTGCTATCAGCTCCTATTTAGCCAAATGAGCATAAATTCTATGAAAAGGTGATTGCTGGAGGTTTGAACTGATGTAGCTTAGCTTGTGTTTTAGCCACGTGCTAAATTAAAACAGTTTCAGAAACTATAAGAAGTTCCCTTTCAAATGAAGTCTGACTAAAGCACTTTGGTTTTCTGTTGAAGGCTTTTCCATTTGGCCAAATGGTCAAAAGTCCCACAAAAAGGAAGAAAATTAAGAAGTTGAAGACATGCTTTGACATATTTATGACTTTTTAAAGAAATGCAGAAACTCTTTACTGACTTGAACTTGTGTTGCTTTGAAGAAATCTAAATATTTCTTGTTTAAACGGGCAGATTTCATCCTCCAACTGACAGAAAAATACACTAAATCCTTCTGCTATGAGCTCCTATTTAGCCAAATGAGCAAAAGCGGTGATCACTAAGAGGTTTGAACTGATGTAGTTTAGCTTGTGTTTTAGCCACATGCTAAATTAGCTCAAGAAACTAGAAGGCGCTCCCTTTCAAATGAAGTCTGACGAAAGCATTTTGATCTTACAGCTGAGGCCAAACTCCTATAAAAGGCTGGATGTTAAGAGGTTAACGACATGTCACGACATATTTAATAAACCGCAGGAACCCTGTACGAAGTGGAGAAAAAAAAGTGAATTTAAACTTTAGAAAACTCCAGAACGGCGACTTAATGGACTCTGAGGTGAGAGTGTTTTGTTTAAAAGTGCTCATGAATAAAAATAGGAGATGTGGGAGTGTGTGTTTGGTCTCTGCCGGCCACTTGAAGTTCCCTCCGACGTTTCTTGGCAGCTGCTCTCTGTGCGGTTGTTCGCAGTGTGAACCAACACCAGCGGGTCAAAAGTCCCGTCGTTTCCCCGCAACAAGTTCCTCACGAGCGATGACAGAAACTAAAAACCCCCCAAAGATTTGCTTTCCGGAG